CCTCCACAGAGGCCCTGCCCTGGACCCGAAATCCACTCCGAACAAGGGCTAACTACCTCCCTGCTTTACTAGTGTTTGGTATTCTATGAAACTCCCTTTCCCAAACACGTTTACTCCACTGGCAGTCACTAGGCATGTTCTGTACCTGGGATATGGTTTTTTTCCAACCTGATCCCTATCTGTGAAGCTCTCAGACAGCTGTATGTAGCAGAATATGACATATTGTTTGTGTTGTTGTCTATGGTCAAGTGGGGTCAGAACAGATAGATCTTTGCCAAACTAAACAATACTGGCCATTTCAGCATAGCAGCTGGCTGTGGTGGGATGGGGCCATATCAGACTGCGTAGATGCATATCTGGAGGGACATAACCAATTTTCCCACCAAACACATGTCAGTCTAACTCAAAACATTGTCATAGATTTATAGTAAATATAGTATTCATTAAATGATTTGTTTTTATCAGTAAAACCTGCCAAGTTGACTCCCTTTGGTAGGAAGGATGGGGAAGGGGGAATTATCAATGTGTTGAAATTTGAAAACAACAAAAAACAAGCTGGTCTAGATTATCTCCTTTCTGTCAGTCCCACCGATTAATGTTAGAAGGAATATTCATCTCGTCCTAATTCAAATTAACTGGCTTTCTGCTGCAAACGATTTAGAGTTATCAACCCAGAGGCTGTGAAGCAGCTCATCCAAATAAAACTTGTACATTGGGAGAAATGTTGAAAGAGAAGATCTCCTAATACAGTTAATTACTTCCATGTCCACATAACACCATGTAAAACCTCAATCATGAATTCCATGTCCACATAACACAATGTAAAACCTCAATCATGCATTCCATGTCCACATAACACCATGTAAAACCTCAGTCATGAATTCCATGTCCACATAACGCCATGTAAAACCTCAATCATGAATTCCATGGCCACATAACACCATGTAAAACCTCAAACATGAATTCCATTACCGCACAATTATTTTCGCAACCATCCATACAAAATATTTTGCCTATATTGGGTATGCTGAATGAAAATAAATTCATGTCTTGTTAGAAAATGGAATTCATGATTGAGGTTTTACATGGTGTTATGTGGACATGGAATTCATGATTGAGGTTTTATGTGGACATGGAATTCATGTCCACATAACACCATGTAAAACCTCAATCATGAATTCCATGTCCACATAACACCATGTAAAACCGCAATCATGAATTCCATGTCCACATAACACCATGTAAAACCTCAATCATGAATTCCATTACCGCACAATTATTTTCGCAACCATCCATACAAAATATTTTGCCTATATTGGGTATGCTGAATGAAAATAAATTCATGTCTTGTTAGAAAAGTTAAGTATGCACAAGACATCAGTAATCTTCTATTTCATATGATGCATCAAATTGTTTCCAACTAATGTAACTGAAACCTAACCAAGTACAATATGCAAATTTCTTACCATTCATCATCAGTAACATGATTCTATACACGATTAACATCCCGATTCTCGAACCCTTCTATAACTGCATTTTATTTAAAAATCATATCTACTCTAATTAAAATATCAAAAAGAGAAATGTCATTCAAGGTAACTTGATCCAGATTTAAGAGCCATACATTCTATAACTTATGTAAGGTCTATCAAGGTTATATTGTAATACCAGTGATAACATCAGCCTAAACTAAGGGCCAGTTTTAAATAAACAAGAGACTGTACATGTTTTAAATGTTCGCTATCTTCTACATCAGTAGATAACACAAAAGTGCAGTATAACAGTTATATATAATGAATCATTCAGTTACACACACTCGCAGTTACACACGTGCGGGATAACAGCTTTTCCTTTCCTCCATGCATAATGCAGTGCATGAATGAATCAAATTACCACATCACTGCAGCGGCATGGTGTATAATACAGACTGGCTTAAAATTAAATTGAATCTTACAAAAATCATCACCAGTAAAACTGCTTTGGTTTCATCGAACTCACATTTTAAACTACTCCAATATAGTATATCATTATTAAAACATTTAATATAGCAAGTGTGCAACATACTGATAAACACTTTCATACTACAACAGAGAGGCAATGTGAATAATCCTTTAGTGACATTTACAGTGGCTGATCCAGGAGTTTCCAAACTTTAAGAAATTAAAGGTTTAAAGTGCCAATGCAACTGCATCATCTTTCAAGTTTGATGGAGCTCCACCCTCTCAAAAGCTTTCATGAAAATAAGTACATTTTTAGTTGAGGAAGGAAGCCTTCAAATCGTCAGAGAAGAAATCTGCACCAAAGATCAGGTCCTAACTAAGCCATGTTTTACCCTGTGCCCTTGTAAATGATACCAGACCCAGTGAGAGTTAAATTATATCTTCCTTATTACAGCTGATTACCAACTGTCAAAACAATTTGGAGGGTTAGCCCTGTCAGAGATGTCTGAGGGAGGCCCCGTAACCAATCCCCTTGGAGACGCATGTGCATTTCAAGTGCGTTCCTCTCTGGTATATAACGGTGTACACAACTGAGTCACACTCAATGAGTTAGCACTGATGAGCACATAAAGGGAGTTTGTTATCTTTTACATTAGCATTGATAGCAGAGAGAGTTTGTCTCAATACAATCATCAGTGTTTCCCTATCAGCATTGCAAGTCATCCAGGAGCTCAGAAATCCCACACACTTTATGGAATTTCACAGTGTATCTGATTATAAAGATATACCAGTTTAATCAGTGTTGTACGAGATATCTTAACTGTATTCAAGAGATAACAGATAAACAGCTTATACTCATCTTGGCTGTCTGCAGTGACGCAACAGCTATTTATAGTTCATCATGTCATCGCTTCTTTAGGTTAAAATTTGTTTCTGTAATATCTATATTTAATCTTATATCATGTTATACAAATGCAAACTAATGTTTTGACTTTGCATTGATTTGAATTAGATGCTCTCTAGCACTTGCAAGACTTTTTTATCAACAGTAATGCTACCCTTTCCTACACAAAATGTATATTAGTCTCTATTAGTACCAACACTGGTAATTTTATACCGATTTTAGGCAAGCACTTTAAAAGTCTGAAACATTTACCGTATAACCTCTGTCAAAATATCAACTGAAACATTTACCATACAAGCTGTCAAAATATCATGTCAAATAAAGTGGCTAACTACCTTAATTTTTGAGTGTGGATAGTATAAACGCAAGAATAATTTTGTTTTGCATTATTGCTACATCTGTATATAAACAACCTACAGCTTTTATTCAATTACAAATTCACATTACAAATAATGGTAGGTTTGACATTGATTTACTTTTATAGGTGAATTAATTTAAGAAGCAGTTATCACATAAAAATAAACAATAAATTTGTGGACAGATATGATCATTAGGCAATCTCAGTAATATAATAATAAGTGTGGGGTAATGCCAATATCTGGGCAGTCACTCGTGTAGTAATGCTGTGACGGATGACCGGAGTACCATGAGTCAGCATCAATCAGCTCCTTACTTCCTATATATCAATTATTCAATAGGATTCTACATCACATGAATTCTCTTCAAGCTACAGTACAGGATTGTTCGCTTTTGTGATAAAAGGGCCAGAGAATGAAATGCTGGAGGACAAACTATTTCATTACTGAAAGGTTTTTGTTGCTCTCTCCTCTCCTGTCCAATCATGCCCATCCCCCCTCCCCCAAAGTAAATTTAGCGAATCAAAAAAACAAAAACCTGACTGGATCAAGACCTAGGGCTTTCACAAGACTTTCCACATTTAAGAAACTCCTAAATTTCAGGACACAACTTACAATGCTTTTAAAATGATAAATTCCTTGTTTATGAAATTGTGTTTTTCAATCTTTCCCAATTATGATTATAATTGTGTTATCAGATGTGACATAAAGAAAATGGTTTTCCAATTACCTTTTGAACATTTTGCATTATTTTTTAGGATTAGTTGGACACTCTGACCTGATAATCATTGATATCAGGTAGTATCACTACATGTACATCAAGCACAGGAAAAATCGCTTAAAGAAATGATAAGTCTATAGTTCAAGGTCAGCTGAAAATTTGTGCTCCATGTTACAGGAAAAAATATCAAAAAGGTGTTATTTAGTGCAAGCAAGGACTATCAGTTTAATTAAGATCCCCTAACTTCATCCAAATTACCAAGCTTTCTCTCACAGACAATTTTCATTAGGTTGCAGCTTCAGTGTAGGCTCAGCCTCCCTGCTGGGTGACTGTGATAACAGGGAGATACAGACAGATACCAGTGAGTACACAGTTATCACAGTGTTAGGGGCTCTATGGGTCACTAATTACCTCCTATTGAAACCCCACTTACCAGCCATCCCACAACAATGTATCAAATTGCAATACATTCTACATGTACACCTCCACTGATAATATATCTGCTGATATACATTTTAAAACAATGTTGTGCATTAATAGTCAAATGAAAAAAATCAGACATGAGCTTTTCTTTGTAAACTAACAATACCTTATTTACAATATGGTCAATACACATATTATGCATCAAAACATGTAATTTGTTTATCAACACAAAATATTTGACCTAAAAGTGTGTTTAATATTTTCAATGGTCCAGGATATGTTTTGGCATCGTGTCACCAAATCGCAGACAGCTAAAGCTCGCCACACAGACGGTCGGCATTAGCATAATGTATTCTGCACTTGTAGCCACCGATGACTCATAAATTGTGTTATCATTCGATTTGTTAGACAAAACTACGGATCTTTGAATTTAAAAATCAACAGGGAATATGGCCATTTTCTAAGCTAGAACACATCCGTTATACTTATAATGTACACATGTGTGGAAATAGGTCAATTTCACTGCCGGTCTGACGAGACCTAGGAACGCTTACTTCACCGGTCCATCCGAAAGTAGAAATAAACCGTCAGTAACACACAATGCTCATTCGTATCGCTCATTTCAAAGCGGTGTGGAAAACTAACCGGCCACTTACCTTTCGTAATTTCTCCTAAAATGACATTTTGGTGATCATCTGTAACTGGTTCCCCAATAACAAGTAAAAGTGCTGCCCCTACGGGGCTGTCAGAGTCCCAGTTTGTCTGTGGGCTAACTCCGTCGGTCTCCATCTTTTTAGAAAGAACCAGTCGCAGCTGCACGAAGGAAGTTTCGTGAGTGGGCTTTCGGAAGCCACTCGGAAGCACTTGCTGTTTTCCTACGGTAATATCCGAATCGCTGAATATTCCGAATCACTATCGATTTCAACCGTTTTTCAGGTGTGGCCTTTGGATGACAAATGCTGATCAATAAAAATAATTTTCTTTTCATAGAAAAACATTATGCATCATCGCCAGTGCTCAGTATTTAACGATGGAAAAGGACAAAAAGGATTTAGCTGACGTATGGCATAGTTGAAAGATGAGTGTACTAAAAAGTAGCAATAATGCCAAAAATATAGATTCTTGAAATTAATGCTAAAACTTGCAAAAGCTGGCGCGACACTCATTAACTGTGGGAAACTAACATGTGTTACTGTGCGATTTTAATGTTGCATTTTCACCAGATAGTTATGTAAAATATGCACTGGTGGCGCATATGTTTCTATACGTTACAGACAAGCAACTTTTAAGAAACAAATTAGTCCAGCTTACCATTTACAATTTTTCAATTCAATTCAATATTGTATGGCTCAGTTTAAGTTACATAGTAACTTGAATGCAAATAACATGACAACAAAGATAAAAAGGAACTTAAAATTTTGAACGACAAGGAATTTATAAACGAATCGCACTATATCTACGACCTTGATTTAACATGAAGACTATTTTATACCCGCTACAACACAATGTTCTAGTTGATTACGGTTATATACCGCTGTTATCTTTGTGTCCTTTTTATTATTATTAGGTGACTCATTTTAGGTACTCAGGGTGCCTGAAATCACGGAAATAAATGCTAGTTGTGTTATTATTTGCTGTCCTACTCTGTAAAAAATTCGGTTCCAAACTGATAAGAAACACTGCTCCCTTTTTGTAATAGAAACCAAATAGAAAAAAAAGCATATACAAATGAATTAGTAAAACCACGGACTTAGCCCTCTAATTCGAGACGTATACGTCTCTACTCTAATCTAAGTCCGTGCTAAAACAGTGCGTTGTGTCCATCCATTTACACATATGACGGGTATTTTCAATAGGAGAGTTAAAAATTCGGTTAAGGGGTTCAAGGCTCACTGCATATGATTAGATAATTCTATCTAGGGTAACACTTAACGTAGCCAGTACAATAAATAACCCAGAGACATAGGCCTATACAGCCATATGTAGTAGTAAGGCATAGTCTGGTATGACTGGTATCGTGGAAGTTTCAATCAAAGAAGCATAAAAAGTAATATATTTCAAGCTCATTTTTCTTTTTGTTACCCCCCAACTTTTTACTTATGCAGTAAGACAGTTTTAATTAATATGATTTTGGGTGTTATTTATTACAATTTGAGGTTTTGTGTTGCGGGTCAAAAAATCCAAACAAATGTTGCTCATTTTGCAGTTTTCCGGGTATATGTACTGAGGCCTATAGGCATATATACATGTATGTATGTATAACTCAGCATTGCAAAACATGACTTTTATTAGGACTAACTGTTATAGTTAATTCCCTTGTAAAACGTCTTTTTTTTGCGACAACAAAGTGAAAACACTGAAACTACGGCACCAAAATTTTGTAGAAATCGATACCTACACGGAAAATATGGCAAATATTATTGAATGAAATTTAAGATAAATCTCTTTCGGAATGGTAAATTATCAATAAAAATGCAGGAAAAATCAGAAGGTATTGTGTGAAATGAGGGGGAAATTGCGCGCCACAGGATGGTGATATATCCCGAATAAGCCCCAAATCAATAATCGGAATGATAATGATATCTGACAAACTGCATGTTCTCAAATCTAGCCTTCAAATGTACATCGCGAAATTGAAATTATAGTCTCTGTACCAATTGAACATGTTAAGAAAGGTAGAGTTGTCTTTCTTTAGCTGAGGTATTTGAGGTCAAAATGAAGTAAGGTCAATTACAAAAAGGGCCTGCAGTCGCCATATTGTTTATCTACGATACTGCTTCAGGTCGATGTATTCTTACACAAATGTAAATGGAAAATGTTATAAGTGCGTTAGAAACTATATGCATTAAACAAACTCATATGCACTCTATTTAGGATAACCAAAATAACATTAAATCAAAATGATAAATGTAATTATGATACTTTAATATGGTCTATATTTTTAAGCGTAAGGATACTGGAGCGTACTTCGTCTAATAGCAACCAGTTGCAGAGCCAGTGTGTTTTGATTCTGGTGGTCAACGTTTATCCGTCAAAATGAGTCTTGCAACGACTCTTCGGTTCGAATTGAACACAGGTGGAAAATCAAGTTTAAAACAAGCATTTGAGAAACAAAAAGAACGCATTCAGGTTTGTAACGTTGATAATTTCTTTGGAAAGAAAAAAACATGCAGTGATGCACTGATTTCATTTCATGATTTTCATCTTCGACCACCAAAATTAGACCGTAGGCTTAACTTGCCCGTAATGTTATTGGAAACAATATGAATGCTATCAGAGGATTTCTGCAGGAAACACATTATGTGGAACATCAAAATACTCGAAAATTAAGCTACCTACTACACATGTAAACATTTATATATATTGAACGTTACTAGTGCTGTCGGTTTTAGCATGCCTTTTGTACTTTTCAGAAAGATGAAATGATGGCAGATAGAGAAAACGTTGTGAGATTGTAAGTTTTCACTTTTGTATGTTTGATTTTCTTCGATCATGACAATAATAATGTCATCATTCACTTTACTTAATTAGCCTAATCTTTACCTGTATTAACGAATTTTGTACAGGGATTGTCTCCCTTCGCTCCCATTCCAAATTATATCATAAGGTAATGATATGTTTGTGGATGATTTTAACATTGCATTCCTATTTAATCTGCTTATATAAAGAATAGAGAGAAGAAGGCATATACATGTATGTTGTCATGTAAGTATCTGTGACAGTGTTGTGTTGGAGATTCCCAAGGGGCCGTATGTGCTATACACCAGAAAAATACAGAGTTTTACAAGAGGTTGCCATAGTCAGCCATGATACTGTTGCCATACTGTTTTGAATGCAGCAGCATGCATCCATACAAGGTATTCATACTCCAAGGAACTTTAATTGCTTGTAGATAAATATAAATACTAAAATTTGATAGAAATCATGTGACGAATTGTTTTCACATACAAGACTATACAGTTTTTTTTACATTTCCATAGAGAACTAAAAACAAATCAAAGAGCAGAGTGGAACGAGAACCTAGAACAGTCCAGCTGGAAAAAGCGAATTCGTGAGGATGACAAGAGGATCAACGAAGAACTAAGTCAGGCACATAAAGCCAGCATTGCTGTAAGTAACGTCAGAGGTAAAAGAAGGTCAAACATGATGGGTCAGAAATGAAAGGTCATCAAGGGGTTACAGGTCAGAAGGTAACAGAAGCTATGATATCAGGGAGTTAAAAGGATGACTGGTTCAGGAGGAGACAAAGGGTTAGAGATAAGTGATACGTGACCAGGATACAGCAGGATGATGAGGTGTCAAATAGTAACATGGATGGAGGTGTCGTCAGAGGGTGGTGACAAGGACCAGAGGGTGTCAATGAAACAGGCGTTTTAAGGGTTACAGGGAGTCAGGTTGATTGACTGGAACTGAAAGATGACAGGATCCCAGATGGTGATAGGTCAAAAGTGTGACAAGATGTCTCATTATGATACAGGTTCAACAGTGACAGGAGGTTAGGGTGACAGGGGATCTGAGGTGACGACAGAGATCAGACAGTGATAGGTCAAGAGTGTGACAAGATGTTTCAGTATGATACAGAGTCAACAAAGTGACAAGGGTTAGAGTGACAGGGGATCTGAGGTGACAGAGGTCAGACAGTGACAGGTCAAAAGTGTGACAAGATGTCTCAGTATGATACAGAGTCAACAAAGTGACAAGGGTTAGAGTGACAGGGGATCTGAGGTGACAGAGGTTGGATGGTGATAGGTCAAGAGTGTTACAAGATGTCTCAAAATGATAAAGATTCAACAAAATGATAGGGGTTAGTGTGATAGGGGATCTGAGTCGACAGAGGTCAGTTGGTGACAGGTCAAGAGTGTGAAAAGATGTCTCAGTATGATACAGGTTCAACAGTGACAGGATATTCAAACAACTTCTTCTAAATAACCGAAAAGCCCAGGGTACTGATATAGGGCCTGTAGCATGCTGGGATGAAGGGCTACCAAGTTTGTGCAAATGAATGACCTTGACCCACTTTCAAGGTGACAGGGGTCAAATGTCTTCACATCTTTAAACAACTTCTTCTCAATAACCAAAAGGCCCAGGGTACTGATATTTGGCCTGTAGCATGCTGAGATGAAGGGCTACCAAGTTTGTTCAACTCAATGACCTTGACCCACTTTCAAGGTCACAGGGGTCAAATGTGTTAAAATCTTTGAACAACTTCTTCTCAATAACCAAAAGGCCAAGGTTACTGATATTGGGCCTGTAGCATGCTGGAACGAAGGACTGCCAAGTTTGTCCAAATGAATTACCTTGACCCACTTTCAAGGTCACAGGGGTCAAATGTGTTAAAATCTTTAAACAACTTCTTCTCAATAACCAAAAGGCCCAGGGTACTGATTTTGGGCCGGTAGCATGCTGGGATGAAGTGCTACCAAGTGAATGACTTTCGCCCATATTCAAGGTCACAGTTGTCAATATATGTTTAAATCTTTAAATGATCTGTTCTGTATAACTAAAAGGTCCAGAGTAATGATATTTTTCCAGAAGCATGCTGGGTTGAAAGACTATAAACTCTGTTCAACCTAATGTCCTTGTTCGACATTCAAGGTCACAGGCGTCATATGTTTAAATCTTTTAATAGGTTCTTATGAATCAAATACTGATATTCTGCCTGTAGCTGTGTTTTAGTCCACTTTTGATACATCAACCACTGTTAGTCCCCCAGGTGAGCGACGCAGGCCCATTGGGCCCCTCTTGTTAGTTAAAGCTTAAGTTTGGGGATATCTTTTTCATTAATGTATGGAATGGTTGTAAAATAAAATCTCAGATTAATTCAACCTATCAGTATTGTTACTTAGATGACATTCTTAAGGTATATACTCATCTAACAGTAACAAAAAATTAGGGGAAAAAACCTGATAAATATTTTTGGTTTTCACAGGTGAGAAGAGTGGCTCTGCAGCGACTGTTTGAACAGGAACATGATATATACGAGAAGGAACTTTACAAACTGGGCAAGACATTCTTTACACAAAGAGTGTAGCTCTCTCAGGCCACAAACTTTGTAACACGTAGGAGAAAATATATCTGTAATGAGGAATTCTACATCAACCACTGTTAGTCCCCAAATAGGGGTATCTAAATACCTGATACATCAACCACTGTTAGTCCCCAAATAGGGGGATCTAAATACCTTATACATCAACCACTGTTAGTCCCCAAATAGGTGTTACACATACCTTATACATCAACCACTCTTAGTCCCCAAATAGGGGTATCTAAATACCTTATACATCAACCACAGTTAGTCTCCAAATAGGGGTATCTAAATACCTTATACATCAACCACTATTAGTCCCCAAATAGGGGTATCTAAATACCTGGTACATCAACCACTGTTAATCCCCAAATAGGGGTATCTAAATACCTGATACATCAACCACTGTTAGTCCCCAAATAGGTGTTACACATACCTTATACATCAACCACTCTTAGTCCCCAAATAGGGGTATCTAAATACCTTATACATCAACCACAGTTAGTCTCCAAATAGGGGTATCTAAATACCTTATACATCAACCACAGTTAGTCTCCAAATAGGGGTATCTAAATACCTTATACATCAACCACTATTAGTCCCCAAATAGGGGTATCTAAATACCTGGTACATCAACCACTGTTAGTCCCCAAATAGGGGTATCTAAATACCTGGTACATCAACCACTGTTAATCCCCAAATAGGGGTATCTAAATACCTGATACATCAACCACTGTTAGTCCCCAAATAGGGGTATCTAAATACCTTCTACATCAACCACTGTTAGTCCCTAAATAGGGAAATCTAAATGCCTTATACATCGACCACTGTTAGTCCCTAAATAGGGAAATCTAAATGCCTTATACATCGACCACTGTTAGTCCCTAAATAGGGAAATCTAAATGCCTTATACATCGACCACTGTTAGTCCCTAAATAGGGAAATCTAAATGCCTTATACAATGACCACTGTTAGTCCCCAAATAGGTGTTACACATACCTTATACATCAACCACTCTTAGTCCCCAAATAGGGGTATCTAAATACCTTATACATCAACCACAGTTAGTCCCCAAATAGGGGTATCTAAATGCCTTATACATCAACCACTGTTAGTCCCCAAATAGGGGAATCTAAATACCTTATACATCAACCACTGTTAGTCCCCAAATAGGTGTTACACATACCTTAAATTCTATTGAATGAAATGTACTGTAAAAATTGCATGGAGTTAATGTGAGTGAAAAATTAGAGAGAAGTGGAGTAAGAGAGGAAGGAGAGAGAGAGGAAGACGCAAAGATTCATGTAAAAGAGAGTAACTTGTATGTCTTTACAAAGATCCCTGGTCACATACTTTTTACAATAATTTGCCTTTTAATGTGTAAACAATTGCCAACAATTCTCTGATTATAATATTTTGCGTTTTACAAACACCTAAAAATTATTGCACAAACACAGAAAACTCATTTGCCAAAGTTATTGTTGTATCCATTTATTGCCTTCTCTAAGATCATAAAATGTATAAATTACAGAATCAAAAGTGTGGTTTAATTACACACAGTTAACTGACTGCATCTGTTAAAGCACACACAACATTTACATGTAAACCTTCGATTGATTTGTGCTGTGGATGAATGTACCAAAAATAAATATTTCTTTACAGATTGTAGTTTATTTTATTTTGTTTGGGGGTGATCGATCCATTACATGGTGACAATATAACAGCCTTCAGTCAACATTTATCAAACTTGAAACACATCTGAAGTAAGATAAAGGGAGAGATTGTTTGAAGTGTGCCCTAGATAAAGTCCTTTAGAGAAAATTAGAAAACATATCTGTGTCAGAAACTCAATAATTTAAATCAACATGTCCTAGAGGCATACTTTACTAACGTCAGACCTGCCTTGTGCTGTAAAAGTGTCAAATTAAAGATAAAAAATAGTCAATAAAGGGGCTGTCAAGGAATGATGATGTAATCAACATTTGCCAAGGGGTCTTATGCTTTAAACTTAAAACAAGTGTACAGTGAGGACTTGATATATCCTACATGACAGTGAGGACTTGATATATCCTTCATGACAGTGAGGACTTTATATATCCTACATGACAGTGAGGACTTGATATATCCTTCATGACAGTGAGGACTTTATATATCCTACATGACAGTGACGACTTGATATATCCAACATTACAAGTATACAGTGATGACTTGATATATACTACATGACAGTGATGACTTGACATATCCTACATGACAGTGAGGCCTTGATATATCCTACATGACATGCATACAGTGATGACTTGATATATTCTACACGGCATATACAGTGACGACTTGTTCTCCTACATGACATGTATACAGCGATGACTTGATATATCCTACATGAAAAGTGTCAAATTAAAGATAAAAAATAGTCAATAAAGGGGCTGTCAAGGAATGATGATGTAATCAACATTTGCCAAGGGGTCTTATGCTTTAAACTTAAAACAAGTGTACAGTGAGGACTTGATATATCCTTCATGACAGTGAGGACTTTATATATCCTACATGACCGTGAGGACTTGATATATCCTACAAGACAGTGAGGACTTGATATATCCTAAATGACATGTATACAGTGATGATTTGATATATCCTACATGGCACGTATACAGTGATGATTTGATATATCCTACATTACAAGGATACAGTGATGACTTGATATATGCTACATGACAGTGATGACTTGATATATCTTACATGACACGTATACAGTGACGACTTGATATATTCTACTTGACACGTATACAGTGACGACTTGTTATCCTACAGGACATGTGTACAGTGATGACTTGATATATACTACATGACAGTGATGACTTGGTTTATCCTACATGACAGTGATGACTTAATATATCCTTCATGACATGTATACAGTGATGATTTGATATATCCTACATGGCACGTATACAGTGATGATTTGATATATCCTACATGACACGTATACAGTGATGACTTGATATGTCCTACATGACAGTGATGACTTAATATATCCTACATGACAGTGAGGTCTTGATATATCCTACATGACAGAGATGACTTGGTTTATCCTACATGACAGTGAGGACTTTATATATCCTACATGACCGTGAGGACTTGATATATCCTACATGATACGTATACAGTGATAACTTGATATATCCTACAGGACATGTATACAGTGACGACTTGATTTATCCTATATGTCATGTTTACTTTTAACTGTCATCTGTGTGTACTTATGCCTATGGGGTAATATATAGTCGCACCAGAAGAAACCCACACATATATATATCCTACATGCCATGTATATAGTGACGACTTGGTATATCCTACATTACAAGTATACGGTGATGACTTGATATATCCTACCTGACAGTGATGACTTGATATATCCCACAGGACATGTATACAGTGTCTACTTGATATATCCTACATTACATGTATACAGTGACGACTTGATTTATCCTATATGTCATGTTTACTTTTAACTGTCATCTGTGTGTACTTATGCCTATGGGTTAATATATAGTATCCTACATGACATGTATACAGCGATGACTTGATATATCCTACATGAAAAGTGTCAAATTAAAGATAAAAAATAGTCAATAAAGGGGCTGTCAAGGAATGATGATGTAATCAACATCTGCCAAGCAGTCTTATGCTTTAACCTTAAAACAAGTGTACAGCGAGGACTTGATATATCCTACATGACGTGTATACAGTGATGACTTGATATGTCCTACATGACAGTGATGACTTAATATATTCTACATGACATGTATGCAGTGATGACTTAATATATCCTTCATGACATGTATACAGTGATGACTTAATATATCCTCCATGACATGTATGCAGTGATGACTTAATATATCTTACATGACATGTATACAGTGATTACTTGATATATCCTACATGACGTGTATACAGTGATGACTTGATATATGCTACATGACAGTGATGACTTGGTTTATCCTACATGACAGTGATGCCTTGATATATCCTACATGACATGTATGCAGTGATGACTTAATATATCCTACATTACATGTATACAGTGATGACTTAATATATCCTTCATGACATGTATACAGTGATGACCTGATATATCCTACATGACATGTACACAGTGATGACTTGATATATCGTAGATGACATGTATACAGTGATGATTTGATATATCCTACATGGCACGTATACAGTGATGATTTGATATATCCTACATGGCACGTATACAGTGATGATTTGATATATCCTACATGGCACGTATACAGTGATGATTTGATATATCCTACATTACAAGGATACAGTGATGACTTGATATATGCTACATGACAGTGATGACTTGGTTTATCCTACATGACAGTGAGGACTTTATATATCCTACATGACCGTGAGGACTTGATATATCCTACAAGACAGTGAGGACTTGATATATCCTGCATGACAGTGAGGACTTTATATATCCTACATGACAGTGAAGACTTGGTATATCCTACATGACAGTGTCGACTTGGTATATCCTACATGACAGTGTCGACTTGGTATATCCTACATGACAGTGTCGACTTGGTATATCCTACATGACAGTGTCGACTTGGTATATCCTACATGACAGTGTCGACTTGGTATATCCTACATGACAGTGTCGACTTGGTATATCCTACATGACAGTGTCGACTTGATCTATCCTACACAACAGTGACGACTTGATATATCCTACAAGACACGTATACAGTGATGACATGTATACAGTGATGACCTGATATATTCTACATGGCATATACAGTGACGACTTGATATATCCAACATTACAAGTATACAGTGATAACTTGATATATCCTACAGGACATGTATACAGTGACGACTTGATATATTCTACTTGACACGTATACAGTGACGACTTGTTATCCTACAGGACATGTGTACAGTGATGACTTGATATATGCTACATGACAGTGATGACTTGGTTTATCCTACATGACAGTGAGGACTTTATATATCCTACATGACCGTGAGGACTTGATATATCCTACATGATGATATATCCTACATGACAGTGCCGACTTGATATATCCTACATTACAAGGATACAGTGATGACTTGATATATTCTACATGGCATATACAGTGACGACTTGTTATCCTACATGAGATGTATACAGTGATGATTTGATATATCCTACATTACAAGGATACAGTGATGACTTGATATATTCTACACGGCATATACAGTGACGACTTGATATATTCTACTTGACACGTATACAGTGACGACTTGTTATCCTACAGGACATGTGTACAGTGATGACTTGATATATACTACATGACAGTGATGACTTGGTTTATCCTACATGACAGTGAGGACTTGATACGTCGTACATGACAGTAAGGACATGATATATCCTACATGACAGTGGTGACTTGATATATCCTACATTACATGTATACAGTGATGACTTAATATATCCTACATTACATGTATACAGTGACGACTTGATTTATCCTATATGTCATGTTTACTTTTAACTGTCATCTGTGTGTACTTATGCCTATGGGTTAATATATAGTATCCTACATGACATGTATACAGTGACGACTTGATATATCCTATATGTCATGTTTACTTTTAATTGTCATCTGTGTGTACTTATGCCTATGGGTTAATATATAGTCGCACCAGAAGAAACCCACACATATACTCGTTTGTACTATTAAAGAATACATACTTCACCAATTTGGTCAATGCACAAATGCATGGGAATGGTAGAGAAAGCCAACCATTTATGTAATTAGTCTACAACGAGTACTCTCAGAGTTCAGCCCCGCCCCGTAGGCCTTAGTACAGGTTTATAACATTGAATACATGTATTTGCTATTCCTGTAACCATACAACCAAACACGTGTGCTAACATGGCATAAAGAAACAAACACAATCCTGGATGCAGCATTGGGTCAAGTCCCATAATTAGATATGTATTTGCCTAGAATCGCGTTTAATGAAAACGTTTTACCAGGATTGCTTCTATATCACAGCGATCTTATTTTTGTTAACAAAAACATATGGAAAGGCAATAAAGGGAATAAGTTATTTCGGACAAACTCTGAATGATCACCGCAATGTAAGCACACATAAGTGATGACCAAATATGCAAAAAGCTGAGCAATCCTAAATGCGGACGTTCTGTAATTCTTTAAACGCCTCTGTCCTGTAAAGGCTAAAACTGGTCAGACAAATGATCACTGTGACATATGTCGACAAATGTTTCAACAATGAATAATAGCACTTCAATTCCATCCTACTCTAATATTATTATACCGTTACTTGATGGCAATATCACAAAACTACCCGGTCTGCATATATATTTTATTTTATAATAAATAATATAAAATTGTTACTGAAAAGGACAATATTATATATATTATGTTTCGGTTAGCTTGTAATAATAATTATAATAATAATTCGAGGTTCTTATATACCGCTTTATCACAACCTAGTTCATAGATCGTCTCAAAGCGGTTCACAAATTATTATCCGTGGTTATAGGGCCTTTGCAACCAGCCAATAGCTTTTTCAACTCCCTGGGGAACATACAGCCGGTGCTGCCATTTCGGCGCTCACAGCTAGCATTCAA